AGGCAGAATTCCTCATGACTCAGTACTAATCACAATGTAATGCTTCCATTGTAGCACTGGTAAATCAAACCGAAAACTTTTTGTATTTGGAAAACGCTTAAGGTATGCTCTGCCAGGGTTCTCCCCAATAAGACAAAAAAACGGTTCCCATGAGAACGAGATTATCATTAATTGCCATGAAGAACACAACCCAAGAACCCTTTGCTGATGTACAACTAAATAATAACTATATGTAGGACAATGAGGGACGGATAGCCAGGAAAAAATAAGAGTAAATATAGCAACCAATAAGCGGGTTACTATGCTTCGTTGCCAGATGGAATAATAGTCGTGCGGGTCATCGTCGGGGGTCATCATAGAGGGGCAGGTCAGTAACGGTCAATCGGAGGTCAGTGGGGCCGGAGTGCTTGAAGATGTTCCCCCAAAAATTTCTCATTCTGGTAAGACAGGGTACAAAAGCCCTCGGAGGTCTCTGCTTGGAGCGATCGGAAGCCTCCTTGGAACGAATCTCAGCTTTTTTAAGGTTTCGAAACAAATTGCATAACAGTGTTCCTTATTAATCGTTTTTTGAGTATTTTTTCATCACAGTTCGGAACCCGAAAATTATACCATTGAGTGAAGTTTGTGCTATTCTGCCTTGTCTGGGCACCACTTTGCCAAAATTTGTTTGCAAAGTACTGAACTCTGTTTAGTTCCGATGTTTGGCGCAATGTGGCTCGAGGGGGGCCAGTCGCCGCGCGCGATCTCTGCTCGTCCGCGCCCTGTAGTACTAAGCCTAGGAGTGGGCAGGAACTTTGGGAAGATGAAAATTGCTATGATCCTGGAGTTCCTCCTCCCCTGCCCGAGGCTTAGTCCCGATTTAGCGAAGAGGAAATGCTTACACAGAAAAACGCAGAGATCGAGCGCGCGGGGACTGGCCCCCCTCGAGCCACATGTGTAGTGCTTCCGTAGCTGATTTATCGGTAGTCATTGGAATATATTATTAAGCGGACCCGACGAAGAGTTTATTGTAAAAGACAATGCTCGAAATTATATTTTGAATGGAAAGGAACTTAATTTTGAAATACAAAGAAGAACCTAATCTCAAGAACGCTGGCCATGGGCAAAACACTTAGCTTCAGAGGGATTATAGCTCAGAGACACACAGAATTGTGGCTGAGCGCTGTGCCAGATGCCCTCGAAAACATGCAAGCTGTTGCATCTCATTCCGGCGTCGCCATATTAAAGATTTAACCCTATGAGCAAGAACACTCTTGAAATCGGTTACAAGGCTTCTGTCAACCAAAGGGTGAGAGCGTAGCTGGAAAAGCACACACTTTGTGTCTTATTGGGACTAAGCCTTTTGAAGAAGATAAAGAAAGAGGAGATGCTGTGATAGTGTGCACTTGTGAGAGCTCCAGACATCACTACAAAACGCTGAACCGCCAACCTCAGCGTTGACAGCATCCTGACCTCAACTTAATGTGCGGTCTACCGTGCCTATGGAAATGCACATGTCGAGCGAACTTGTCAGGATCATTCGATTTTGATAAAAGGATAAAAAGGATAAAGCATTTGCCGTTGATCAATCCCTTTTTGGGATGCGGCACGCATTCTACTTCCATTTGTACATTCGTAGTGGCGTTTGAATGCGATGTGGCCTATACAATGACTTGCGGGGGCCAGCCGATGTTCAAGTCAGTGTTTTTATCCTCCCAGACAAGTCTGGTACCAATTAACCGACCCCGGAGGGATGGAAGGCTTGGTTGGCCCGGGCGACTCACGACCCAGGATTTGATCCCCGGACCGCTCGCGTGGTAAGCGCGCACTTGCACTACACCCTCCACGCCCATTCAGTTTTGATAAAATCGAATATTTACCTCAGTTTAGTAGCTCAGGCCACTTTCCTACCGGCCACCATGATGAATGCACTAGGTGGATCTCTACATAAAATCATGTATAGGCAATTGATGATCAATGAAACAAACTGAAATTCGGGAGCCCCAGGAGGCGTCGCGCGAAGAAAGGCAGAGTCGGCGGACGAGTTGCAGCGCGTGATGTGCGATGTAGGACGTGCAGTGGGACACACTCTATTTAACTTGACGCGAAATCCCTATAGTACGCGCGCGACTCGTCCGCTGACTTTGCCTTCTTGCCGCGCGACGGGCCTCCTGGGGGGTACCCGATTAAAAGCCACTGCATGAACTCTGCTTAGACGTCAGGCAATCATGTAGTTGTTGGTTTTTGTTTAATCTGCTCAAAATTTTGTTTATGCTTTTAGTTAGCTCAGTTTTGAGAGAATCACTTTACAATAGCCGAAATTATGAAAGATTAAGTGACTACTCCTGACTGTAAGGGGATTTTCAACTATAACGTCCACTCTCGAAGCGCTTGCGTAACACCGGCGACAATTCACAGAATGAAGTCGTAGGATTATTGATACGAGCTTCTAACTTGCATAAATCCAAGGGATTTGTTTGCGGTGGCAGAGTTGTGTACCGAACTTGTGAAAGAACACTTTCTAGGAATTAAAATGTGCAATGACAGGATTTCTTGTAATAAGCCCCCCCCCCCCGCTATCCTCAACGTCTACTGAAATTGAACTGATAAGGGAGTAATGTGAAGTAAGCTAAGGAGTAGGGGAGATGAAGAAGGACGAGTATTGTTTTTTTGTTTGGATAACTGGCTTCAACCCTGTTGAGGAGGTCATGTGGTGCAAAGCAGTTCCTGTCTGCTAAGATTCAATTTTCGCATGCAGGTCCACCGTGCGAACTCCTGACCCGGAAAGCTTAACCATTTCGCATGTTGCTGTTACTGTCGCAATACCGTCGCTCTACCTGTAAGATAGAATTCGTTGTTGAGCGATCTACTGCCAGAGCACTTCCTCCCCCCAAGCCACCTCCTGGCATGAGACCCGGACGGCTTGCTCTTCACCATGCTTGACCCTGATTGACCAATTTAGGATCAGTGATAGCATTTTCTGACATCATCCAAATATTATTCAAAACCTCATAAAAGGCTTGAAATTATATCAGTAACAACAGTAACAATTATGAAAAGATTTACTCGCTTTAATTAGTATTAACCGTAACGAACATGCATAACATCTACATTCGAAACTAAGCTCTCTCTGAATTTAATAATATTATACACATCATTTAACAACACTTATTACCCGACATTGCAACACGACGCAATAATTATCAACAACGTAAATCAAGGCCTGTGCGCGATGAACCGGCCACATCACGAGGCACACTATAACTTGAAAAAACGGAAACGGGCGTTTCTTCCCTAACTGGCAGAGCAGGGCGCGACTCACGAGCAAGCGCGACATGTCGCGCGCGGTAACGCGCCCGCGTGCGACCAACTAAGCGAAAAAGATTCTGTGCCCTTTGAAAAACTTGTTCTTTCGTTCAGCTACGAATGGACAATATCAACCTTTCATAAAACCTAATAAAACAGTGTGCCCCGTGTGTTTACCCGAAATATTACTGTGCTACATTTTTTGCGAGAAAAAAAAACATGAATTAGGTGAATTGAACTATGATGATATGCGCAATGTGAGTGCAAGAAAATCATCACCAGCCTAGAGTTAAGGTGGGCAAACCATTATTTCCCCGATGTAGCTGTTTGAGGGAGCAGAGTTCAGACGACGAGAGATCTTCGTCCAGCCCTGCGTCTCTGTACATGTCAGACGACGAGAGCGAGCGCTGTACTCTGCGTTTCTGCTCATGCTCCGGTTCAAAAGGACACACGGCAATAAAGAACGAAAGATAACGGGGGTATATTGCTGAGAGTGAAAGGAAAACAGACGCTGGAAGAAATTTTGGACATTCACGACGACCGGTAAGTAAGGAAGGGGAAGTTGTCAATTAGTAAAATGCACATATTCTCACCCAAACGCGCCTTGATCACTTCTTAAATGTTAAAATAAAAAAATGTTATATGTAAACTACAAAAAATGTCCGTCTGCCTAGTATTGAAGGGTAAAAGAAGCACCTGAGTAGCTAAACATAAAGGGGAAAAAAGAGAAGTAAAACCGGAAGAAAAGAGAAAAAGAAGGAAAGGCTGAACACGGGTTAAATTTTGAGTGCCACCGTTTTCAGCGATTACCATGGTTAATAGTAGACTATAGAAATATCGTATCCTATGCTTGTACGTGCGCGCAAGAATGTCTATCACAATAGAAGAGATCATCAACGTCCACAAACGGACACACCGGGAGAACAATTCAATATACACGCAAAAAAAAACTACTACTGGTCTGACCAGTTGAAGAAGGTCCCGTTCAGGTAACTGAGTTGAGAACCCTATGAGTGACGACGTTCAGCCCGCCAACATCGATTTTACACCATCAATGGCGAATTCAACGAAATCAGCGGATCTGTTGGACTATCTTTTTCTTCCGTCGCCTCCTTCTCACATCTATCTTGTAGAAGTGGAACTGAAAGCGAGATTATCAAACAAAGGTAAAAATTTTAGAAAATAAGAATGAGATAAGACAAAGTAAAGTGAGTGGTCAATCAAACCAAAAGTATTTCGCGTTAATTTGTACGAACAATTCCAAAAATGGCACTCTACATCTCTCGTCACGAACCCGAGAGAATAATTCCCTTAGCTGAACCCGTAAAAAGATGCTCACCCCTTCCATCAAAAGTCCCGCTCATCCTGACACTCCACATCCCCCGGTAGCTAGACATTAAGTTTAGGAATAAGATTAAGGTTTATTAACATGGGCGGGCGGAAGTGGTGTAGTGGCAAGTGGCACGCTTACCACGCGAGCGGTCCGGGGATCAAATCCTGGGTCGTGAGTCGCCCGGGCCAACCAAGCCTTCCATCCCTCCGGGGTCGGTTAATTGGTACCAGACTTGTCTGGGAGGATAAAAACACTGACTTGTACATCGGCTGGCCCCGCAAGTCATTGTATAGGCCACATCGCATTCAAACGCCACTACGAATGTACAAATGGAAGTAGAATGCGTGCCGCATCCCAAAAAGGGATTGATCAACGGCAAATGCTTTATCCTTTATCCTGGGCCGCGCTCACAAAATCGCTCCCCCCCCCCCCCGGCTAAAAAAGCCTAAACGCGCAGGTTGTCCAATCAATGTGTTAGGCACTAAATCTGCCAGTATGTTTTTTCTTGTTTGTCCGAGCCACTGCGAAAGAATGATTGAACTCAACACACTTTTACAGGGCACTATATACCCTTTACTAGGTTATTCAAAAACAGCCTAATTTCGATCGAAATTAGTCCATGACTAAGGATTTATCTAGAAGGTTGTTTCCGATAGCATTTCTTCCCGTGGACACTAATATCACACTAGTTCAGCACAAAATGCACTGTGCCCGCGGTACAGGAATAACCCCTGAGGCAACCTTCTAGCTAAATCCACATAGAAAAACTTTGATAAAAATCCGTCTGTCCAAGGAGTGACGCAGTAAAATGTAAATAGGGCCCTTTTACAGTATTTCGCAGCTATGGAGTGGACCATTTTTCCACCTTGGGTGTGAAAACACGAGTTTGAATGTTATGAACAACCAAAGATCAGCTCATACCATATGGGACGGCTGAGTTTATAATTGTCAACAAAGAAAATAAGATCGAAAACACTGTTCAAAAAATTAAGCAAGGTTAAAGTTAGTGAAATTATAAGTGAAGAAAATAGTAGGGGAACAACACTCACCGTCACTCATTCTATTCCCGCAATTGAATTCAAAGCCATCATCACAGGAATTATTAAGATCGACGTAGTGCGATCCCACTCCATTCGCTAACCGTCTCAGAAACCGATTTACGGAGGCTGTCCGTTCACTGAAACCAATAGAACTCTAGGAAATAAGCATTTCGCGCGCAGCCAATACAACGGGATGGAAAAAATGAATAGAAGATCTCAAAAAAGTCAGAACAATTGCTGAAAAGTGTCACCCACCCTCCTTGCCATAAATGCCGACCAAACGGCGATGCATCACGTAATCGCTGCAAAGGCGATGGATCTCGAAGATGTTGCAGCGACAAAATCGATTTCCGGTCCTGAAAATCATTCCAGTAGTGAACAAGTAGCCTTATTTATCAGTGCTGTCACGATGACTACCATTACAAACACAACAAAAAGTTTTGTCATTTGACCTCGGCACCAATCGTCTACGATCGACTTCAGGCAGAACTTCGACTAATCTGAATGTAGGGCGACATTTTTGTATCAAACTCTTCTGTATGTGTTTCTTTCGAAAGATGAAGGGTTTTCGAAAGGGTTTAGACCCGTGGATGTTATAGAAGAACTTCAAGAAATGCTGATATTTTGAATATTCTTTTTTGGAAATTTGTTTCAAAAACGTAACTAACAACATTCATGAAACGACATCGAAAGACACATGCAAACCCCGCCTACTGGTGACACCACCCGGGTATTCTATAACAAGAAGTCAGGTAACCCTCTTCTCGACTCACAGTAAATTTGGCAGATTAGGCAATGCAAATCTCTTCGAGAAATTGAAACATTGAACAATGTTGTTGAAATAATTTACATTTTTGTTTGCCAAAATTTCGCCATTTTTTTGTCATGACCTTGGATGTCATTGCACTGAAAGCAAAAGTGGGTGAAGGACCTGGTCACCATGCTCTATAAATATTTCCCACAGTATGACAGCGTGCGCCACCTCGGTCACTCCGCTCCCCCTTCCCCTCCCCCGCAATCTCTTTTGGTACTCATCAAAAACTATCAAGCCGTACTCAAGCACAAAATCACATAGTACGAACGGTCATGCTAAATCGGGAAATTCTTGCCTTGCTCTTGTATCGTCGGCGTTGGCGTCGCGGTTCTCGTGGACTAATCAGAGGATCGTCAGGATCTACCTTAGTTGTGGAGCCGTCGTCGAAGTTTGACATCATCGTTGTCGCATGTGGCACGTTGTCACCGACGGAGAGCGATCGCTTTCTAGGAGGTCGCACAATAAGTGCCATCCCTTGTTTCCTAAACACATGGTTAGTACCGACACCACCATGAGACGATCAGGACGCACAACCAAACATGGGCCGGTGTCAGACTTTGCGAATCGCTCGATTCGCTACTAGCGATTCACTGATTGCAAATTGAGAAATTCGCTGGCTATTAGTGAATCGCTCGATTCGTAAAGTCCAACACCGGCCATAGACGGAAATTGAAACGCACAGAAACCACACTCAAAACGTCCCTGTAGAAGTCTATGAGAGTGTGTCTTTAAGTCACGACACGGTGACGCGCACATTTGTCGTTAGCGTGAGTCAAAAAAATTGCACACAACTGATTCGACTAGCTAAGTATGGCACCAACTGGAGACAGATTCCATAATGGCAAGGGGGCTCGAAAGAATGTTGCTCGGCCACACAAGTACGGCGCGCGTAGGACGCCACAAATGTGCGCGTCGCCGCCCCGTGACCTAACGACACACACCAAAATCCTAATCGCATTTGTTAATTGTCTTTTGAAGCGATAAGCGTATGAAGCGACTTCGATTCCTATCGTTAGGAAAAACACAAACATAGAAAGCACAAAAAAGAAAACGTAAGTAGCCAATGAGCACCTTGGAATAGCCGGAAGATCAGCCAGATCTTTATACGAAGGGTACTGGCTAGGTGTTGGCGATGACGATTGCACTGTTCGGGAACTACTGAAAGAGAAAACACCACCGTATACATTTCGTCTGCAAGCCTCATCTCAGAGGTAAACCAAAAACAATTTCTGCTAGGTTTTCGTGACACTACATCGGACGAGTAGATCATCGCTTCCAACATTATCGAATTCCTTTCAGGATGACACTCTGAACCATGGGCCGCCCCAGTAAAAGACACTAGTCAATCTCCATCGGCTTTTATCAATTAAGCAGCGACATGCACATAGGCATAAGCTCAAAGCTTGAAGGCAGCTAACTATTACGATAATTTTACATTCAAAAAACCCTAGGCACAGGTCATTGTGCCCAAAATAGGAAGTAATTGTAGTAAATGGTCGACCTACGTCATTCATTTACCATTATTAAGCAGAAATGGCGGCGGGACAACAAGTGACGTTGTTGTAAACCCTTAGGCTGGTGTCAGAGTCCGCGATTCGTCGCGCGAATCGCGCGATTCGCAAAATCGCAAGTGCCCCATTTGAACATTTGAAACACTGAATATGAAACAAGTAGAATCATGAACAGTCGTCATTCAACCATCACCATCAAGCAGAAATGGCGGCGGGATTGGAGAGCACCTCGCAGTATTGATCGGGGCACTTCGATTTCCGCCATCCATCGCGCGACGGATCGCGGACTCTGACACCAGCCTCAAAAGCATGTTGCATGCTGATTATATGGGCGGAGACTGAGATGGAGACCTTTCTCAACTATAAGCCTCTGATGTACACAATGGTCAGCTCCTATACCACATGCAAGGGAAGAGCCGATCAATGAGAAGGCGCAATCTCCGCCCATAAAAGCAACGTGCTATGTGTTTCGAGATCTCGAAAATTTCGTTAATTTCGTAATAACAACTTAATATCAATTACTTTCATTTTCGAGCGCATTAATCCACACCTAGGCGACTGTGAAATGTGCCTTCAAGCAACCAATTCTATGTGAACTTGCGAACTCTGTAATTCCAATGGATTACAGAGACGAATTCTTCCGCTTCCGGCGCAAAAAAAAAAGGACCAACTGTCACAAATAGGTGAATCTTTCCAATGAGGAAGGTACACCAATCAGAGCTGTAATCTTCAGAGTTCGCGTTTCAGCCTACTCTATTAGGATTCTCTTCTCTGCTTTCCGATAGAAAATTCATAAAATCCGGAATTTCTGACCATCTCTTGTATACCTTTTAACTGTCGTGCGTTCGTAAACTGGCGGCACCTTCCGCTTTAAATTTTTTGCTCAAGTTCATTGAATTTCCAATCTTTGGGAGTGATTACATTTTCCTCGAGCCAATGCTGCATACATGCTTCTATGAATCAAGAGAAAGCCCCAAAAAAAATCAAGGCAAAACGGGTCTTCCAGTAAACAGTGCCTTGCTGACAGCGGCCACGCGGTCGTCAGTGTTTTAAGAACCCCTGAACGATTATTGGTATTAATCAAATGAAGCCCTAAAAAATTTGAGTGATTAGGTCAATCTCCAAGGGCGGACAACTCAAAAACATAGATTAAGCAATCGTTCGACGCATAACATACTATGTTTTGAAAGCAGTTTGATACAGCCCATAGACGCTTAGTAAAAGCCGCGTGTCACATTTCACACGTCTCAATAGCTTACTTCGACTCTGCAGTATTCCTTCGCGTACATGGGTAGACAATACACGAACGGGCGCTGCTTCGAGTTCGCTGTCAGTTGAGCGACACTAGCGATGTCCAATATTCAAGTACTCACCATCTTCTTTGTTGTGGAGCTGACGTTGAAACTTGTCTTCAATGTTTTTACGTTAGACTTCGAGATCCCGCAGTGACCAGATTTTTAAACCTTATGGATACCTGGAGTTGAAACCTAAGGCAATGGTCGCGATTATTTGATTACCATAAAATCTCTGCAAGAGGAGGTGCCAAGTGGTGCGTCGGTAAGGATAAATCAAAAGAAAAAGTCAGAAATCTAAGAAATAGGGGTCTTTTTCATCGTAAAACGCCTAAGAAGTAGGACCTCACATAGCCCATTGATACCAAGGTTTGAGTAGCTTAAGGCCAACAGTGAAACGAATGGTGTTAGAGTGAGCATTTCCTGATAGAAGATACGATGCGACTGTACATATGGTTAGGAATGAAAATCGAACTATAAGGACAATGGTATCATACCACGCACGCTGCCGGTAATAACTTCCACATCTGCAAGCGGTAAAACGGGCGTGAGGATGTTGAGAAGAAGGTTTTGTCGGCTTATAACGCCATTAATAGCGCGCCTTCGCTCAGTATAGAGAGCTAATCTCGTATTTCCCTATCCCTTTTGTTATCGTTGCCCATAATTTGTTAGTTCATACATATACTTCTTTCTACATAGTTCATTGATGTCGTTGAAATCTTTGAATCTGTCATTGAAAAATGGTCGTAGCAAAAGAATGTTGTTCGTAGGGAAAAAGCTTTATGTTTTTCTTGCATAGCTTATCATCGTATCGGATCTATCCTATATATATCCTCCTTGGTATATAATCAGTGTGAAGACGCAGCCTGTTAGCTTTGGTGTTTGCTGTATCGCTGTTCGCCTGTTGGAATAAATCTGAGTGAAGAGCCGGACTACGACACAAGAAGACCCGCGTGGCTAGGCTGGAAGCTTCTATTAAGCTTCGAAAAGCGTCTATCGTCTCTTTGATATTCTCTTACCGCCCTGGACTGCGCATGTTCCTCGCACATTCCAGATTCCTGGCGCCGCTGCCTTTTAAAAATTTATGTATCTACAGACAACTGAGAGCTGACCTTTTCCTTAACGCCACGTCATTGTCCGTGGGAAAGGACGCACGGCTCACATGTTGATAGCAATTCCTTGTCGATGAAAATGGCTGCCATCGAGCATTGCGACTAGAAAATGGAAAAGGTCACTTTTAAAACTTCCGAGCACATGTACCACATGAAAAGATTATGCCATAGCGCATGTGAAGTACTGAATTTCAACTTGGATTTTTATGCCAAGCCGTTACCTTTGATGATACCAGGAGCCGCCGCTGCCGAGGTGCGCCTGGTGAGTCCTCCTCATGTACACTTGGCAGCTCTTTATACGAATTACCCATCGACACTACTCCACCATTCATGGCCGAGAAAAAAGCAGTTGTTTTGATGGCTCGTTGTCTAAAAAAACCGCAGAACTGGACATTGAATATTGACGCGATGACTATAGCTAAGGTATTTGAAAAGGCGAAGCCATCCTACAAGAAGCGCCTGCTTCCAAAGCTCGACCCAAACTAAACTAAAGGCACATTTCACGATAGCCGGAAGGGTAACGAAGTCCAAATATGTAACCGTACATGCTAGGGAGTCTCGTAAAGAAGAGAAAAGCAAAAGGAACCAAAGGCAAGGCCCTGAATAAGACCCTCATTCCCAGTTGCCTACATTATATCACTTTACAGCGAAGAGACACTAGGATACGGAAGGAGAGCGAAGTCAAGGAAGCGAGAGAGCAAAGAAGTTAGCGAGACACAGACACCAATGCATTATCCGCTCATCACATTATCACGCTAACGGATCCTTTCATGGGTGTTCCCAAACCCAAGTCATCAAAACAGCACTACTGCCAAGCACGTTCGAGCATCACTTACCCTGAAATTAGCTTACATTTTGCAAACCAGTCAATTTTTCTCAGGGATTGAGCTGCGCTACCCAGCTGATCGTGAAATGTGCCTTTGAAACAAGGTTGAACGAAATGAAGTATGAGATAAATTGATGGACTGTACCCGATGACCAATCATAAACAGATCTCGTCCTAACGCCACATCCACATCACCTATGACTTGGCTTTGAAAATAAGGCGCAGAATTGAAAATATGTTACCTGCGCCGGTTGCCGCACGGTCCCTATGAAGCGTTTGAGGAAGGACTGGTCTTTCTGAGTCGAGAGCGACATTGTAGACTCACGATTGAGGGCTAAAACACACCAAGTGAAAAACATCAATTGGGACTTTGAGAGGCTGTTCTCCAACGAACTGAATAAGAGACACCACTAACCAAATCCAGAGCCTCTTATTGTACGGAAAGTGGAATTCCGTGGGAAAATCTCTGGCGCTAAGCTTGGCTCTTCTTCCCGTAGCTCTTCATCATCGGAGAACTCGTAACCTTCCGCATCCAGCAACCAATACGTGGTCATTGGACCTTTACCCTGCAAAGACAAGACATAAGAGAACAATAACGGAGAGCCAGGAAGCTATGAAATCTACCTTTATAACGAGAGTTCCTCGCTCTTCAAGAACAAAACCAGGAATTGCCGACAGAACATCTCGTGTCGGTTGAGAGCAATGGATTTTGAGCGCTGAAAAAGGTGTGATCTGCTGTTCTGGTAAAGTGAGGAACATCGATTGACTCGCTTACGTTCTCCATTGCTCTCCATTCTGCTCGCTGTATTTACCGTGTCGCCGAACAGACAGTACCTTAAAAAACAATAATACTCAAAGATCAAAACTGCAGTTGAATCAATACAGCAGACCTGAGTTGATAAATAAAGAATTTAGCGTGTTTTAATTCAATTCAGAAGCAAAATGTGCGCCGGAAAAAATATGAAATGAATGGGGTCAATCAATTCCGTTCCTAGCGTCAGTAGTATGTAGAAATCGAGATTAGACCCCCTCCCCATCGGCAAGCTAGCTAGACGTGTCCAGGCCGACAAAAAAAATGGTTGCGTACGGATATTAATAAAGCGAAGAGTGGAATTATGAATGGAGAAACAGGCAGCGTCTCCACTTTTGCCATGCTACGGCTCACTTCGGCCGTTTCGCACCAAATAAGCCAAAAGGAAAACGGGGATTGATGAAGGGAGGAAAGACAGCATTTCATTTTTTGCATTTGTTATGCGCTCAGTTCCGGCTGTTTCGCATTCAAGTGAGCAGACAAAAGAAAATCAATTGCTTTTCCTGATGCTCTCACTTTTGCCCATAAGGGCAAAAGATTTGAATTGAAGATATGATGAAATAAACATACAGCATAGATTTCAAAGAAACCGGAAACCAACTTGGCATGGTCTTCCCCACTACTCCAGCTACGCAACTTCCTGTGTGAATGCCGATACGTAACATCAATTGTTCATTGGGACGATGAGGAATCTTGAAGTTCCGTACAGCACGCAACAAACAAGTTGCGAAGAAATCCGAGAAAACCAACCTATCTCTTTCGCATGAAACTGCGTCTCTTTGAAGTTAGGCACACCCGACACGACCATGTAAGCGTCTCCAATCGTCTCCACCTTCAACAAATACTTTAATTGCGTCCTGTCACATTCAAAGTAGTAGCAAAGTGTTTCTAGCAAAGCAGACTGCGCCTCACACTTGTAACGCGAAGCAGATTGGATTTTAACAGTGCCAAATGAGGTTTCCTTAATCGATGTTTGCGCAGCAGTTACCAAGAGAGATGAAAAGGTCGGCATAAATGTATGTTGTACGGCGTTCATCTCTCTGGAGGGAAACCGCTAGCGCCACCCGTTGTCACGCACTCTCACGTCAAGCCTCCTTCACTACAGCCTATCTTTGCCACCCGCCTGGCATACTCTCGCCGCCATCACTCGGCTGGTAACAATTCATAGTAAGAAATAGTAAACCTGACTAAGCATACCTTATATACATCGTACTTTTGAATAATTCTATCGAACTTTGTGTACAATTTGTTCAAGAACGTCACAACCTGTAAAAAGGTTAAATGAATAGAAAGGTAAATAAATAAGTGGAACTATAAAAACTTTATGGAAGATGAATTTTCTAGCACAAGTGACTCAAAACAAACCTGCATAGGGGTAGATTCTCCAGAAATACGCGTAAAACCAACAATATCCGAGAAATAAATAGTGACCGATGGGAATGACTCTGGTACCACATCCTGTCCATCCAATAGCTGCTGCGCAACACTCCTGAAAGAGAAATCGTCTATGTCGGTATTCACTTGATCCTGTCTGAGCAACCATCGCGACCTAGATTCCTGCCTTTGGGAAGCCTAGTGAGGCTTACCATCATTACCTATCATTTGGTTCTCCCTCTATTATCTCACAACCACTTTATCCATGCTAACCAGGTGCATCTGCCCAGTATTAATGAGACTGAGACGAAAAGTCAGAAGAAAGTCACACCAGTGAAAGCAAAGGTCACAGCTTCTCACCTGACCACCATGAAGAATTTTTCCAGGGTAGAGTCCATGCCCCGGAGCTCCTTACCCTGATTAACCAAAAAAAACATTGGTTGTATCGTTGATGAGAGAACCATTTGCGATTTACACCAGATCTAGCCCTCATAATCAATCGCTTTGCGAGCCTACCAAACCTGTTCAATCCAGCGAATTCTTTTCATCCCGAACACAAAGGTCAACCGCAAAGAACGTTCATCATAATTTGTGCTCTCAAGTGACAAAAGAACAGTTGCTAAGAGCATCCAGAATACTTGCATTCAACTTATACCTGGGTAACATTCGTTGTAACAGGTGCTGGCTGCGTTTTTGTTCCTCACGTAGTTCAGCTGTTCGTTCATCGACCAAATCTTCTAATTGGTTTTGATATTTCTCCATCATCACCATCATATGGTCCTAAATACCCTCTCATTTGCCGGTAATATAAAAAAAATGCCATTCACTGCTGGAGGAAAAATGTGAACGTAGACAGCTAAGGAAAGGAAAATAAAGATGAGGCAAGCACACAGCTACTTCCCTAGTTTATGTATCCTCTTAGCTTTGAACAAGTAAATTCTTACGAAACAAAGGACCTTCCATTGCTATTATACGTACCATTATATTCCTCTTGTAAATTCCAGCGAACATTGGGTTTCAATTTGTGTCGAACACCATTCTTGAAATCTGGACGGTTTTCTGGGTACTCAGACCAGCACAATCGCATTGTCTCGATTACATAGTCCTGGCCTTCGATACATGACAGATTCGGTCTACTGCACGTTCCGCCAGCTACTCGAGCAACAATCTCTGAAAAAAATTCATGCAATATAGAGCGATCTTTAAGCACATCTTTGACAATAAATTTGTAAGAGAAGTGTTTAGCACGTTGACGACCGTGTGGTATGATGTCATACCAAACTTTCGCATGGGACAGACTAGTTTTCCTCAATTTATTTGGCGTTTTCTCTTGTTCTACAACGGGATGCCATGTACATTATGTATTAGGTTGTCCCATAATTAGTGAATCACTTTGGGTATTTTTGAATTCGAATTTTTTTCTTTTTCATATGGAGTCTCTGCTCATCCAAACATACATCCCTGTCATCTACAATGTATTGCCTATACAGGGAAATTTTGTCGCTGTCTTATCTCTAGAAATCCAGGAGCTATTGATCGAAGAAAGATCGGAAGTCGAGTTTGAGGTCATGTCACTTAGCGTAAAATTCCTCCCTGGGGAAGAGCGCTAGAGGTCAAACTGAGTTGCCTCTTGTTGGCACGAGGATAGGGCCACACAGAGGAAGTGGAAGATCGGCTAGCTTGAGAGTCTCTAATTTTTTATGAATATTCTCCGCAAGGTGGGTCGAACGACCTCAGGAAAAAAGCAGACTTTGTCTTGCTTTACTTTCAAATTGAATGCGCCGCCATTACGCTGTAGATGTTGATCTTCTTCAGTGACTCTAGTATTACTAGGCGGCGGTTCCCAGCGCATGGTCACTCTCGTGCTCCACCAATATCTCTGAAGGGTCGGACTAGAATGAGGTTTGGCTTTTGCTATCAGAACTCCCGAATCGTTCACGCTGGGCTACTGCTCCTCGGAGATTTGCTAGTACACTTCACGCAGTCCAGAACCCTGGTGAATAAGCTGGATGATCACTGTAAGGAACTAAGGGAGATCAGAAGGAACATGACGATGTCAGATCGTGTGCGGAGCTGTTTCGAGCTCAAAGCACACGAGATACAAATTAAATATTTTAAAATCGTTACAACTCTACGTAGATGTCTACATTCCATCATTTTAACAAGTCGGGCATGCTCTAGCAAAAGGCGGCTAGTTCGTCCATATTCACGCTTAGTGGCGCTGGGTACAGCACTGAGATTGCCAGTTGAGGGGTAGTTGGAGTGTGGGTCATCTTCAACTAAAAAAGCCAACCTCTCGATAGAGTGAACTATAAGCAGACCGTGGAGTGAGGGAGCGTGCCTTGCCTATCTGCTGGTCGATTCTCTATATTGTTGGGCGTTTGAAAGATCTTAATCAGAAGTGATTAAGAAGGGAGCTCAAAAATAGGTTCCAGAAAAATTGAAATATCAGCCACGGAAGGCAGCATGGAAATGGGCTGAGTAATTGCTCAGGTAGGATAATGTGGATGCTACTTCGCAAAACATGTTTCACGCCTTCACCATTTTTCTTGGATTTTTAATAACAATAAATGTAAAGTGATTCACTAATTATGGGACAACCTAATAAATTCGAAAAACAATATTTCTTCATTACTGATAATGAAAAGGCTCAAGGATTGATGCCTACTGATGAGAGAATACGAAAAATGTTAAGGCAGTACGCGCACAACGGCGGTCTTCAACGTGTTAAAGAAGGACGGAAATAGCAGGGATGGCCACATCCTGTGGAAGAACGAACGCTTCGTAATGATCTCCCGATAGACGGCCGTCGTCATTGACGAAAAGGGCCAACCAAAAAAAAAATGGTGGAAATTTGCAAAAGAGCCTATGAAAGGTAGGAAAAATTGCTGCACCGCTACCAGGCACTTGCGTTTCGCTTTTAGCGAATATCTGGAATGGTCCCTGTCGCGTCAGAATTTCGTGCAGAATGATTCCAAACGCGTAGACATCACCTTTTTGCGTTCCTAAAAATGTTCATTGTTTTTTCTCAATAATTGAAAAGGGAAAAAGAAAACAGATATTGGCTGAATAATAAAGGAAGATAGTATACTGTTAAAAAAGAAAGACAGGAGAAATGCCGATAGTTTCTCGCTTACCTTTAACGGAGTGCTTCAACTCGCTCTCTCGCAGCAATTCCGGTGCACACCAAAGGTAACTCATCCACTAAACAATTAGCAATGAATGGTAAGGTCGAAAATACGATTAAAGAGAGTTCAAATCAGACTTACCCGACTCTCTTCGCTTTCCCACTGTCGCCCTTCACGTATTTCATGATGACCAAAGTCGGCTACTTGCAGCGCCCACCTCGATGTAATCAAACAATTGGTGGACTTCAGATTACCATGAACTTTCAATTCAGAGTCATGTAAATAAACCATGCCCTAAATTTCATGCTACGTTTGTCTAAAAACTATTTCAATATTAAAAAAATCCTGGAAACAGGTATCGGAAAACTCACATTAATGAGATCTTCAACGAAAGACGCTATATACAAGTGATCGAGTTTGAACTCTCGATTTTGCAATATATCCATCAATGAGCCTTTGGCGCAAAACTCACGGACTATGCAAATCGAATATGGGCACATAATAATCCCTGAAAACCTTTTGCTTGAAAAACCGGCGGGTGATTCTTTAAATAACTTTCAAAGTTAGGAAAATATTGTAAAACGGACGTGTACTAAAAAGCCATTGGGGGAAAAACCGCAAGTTCCTATTCGAGGACCCCTTATCAGTGTTCAGGATTTCGCGTGATAGCTCTACCAAAGAGCGATCAGAAAATGAAATTTGCAAAATCTGCATATTAAGTGACAACTACGCTGTTCTATAATGTCTCGCAAGAAGGGACGTTTCACTTCATTGTTATTACAGACTAAAGATACACGAAAGAACCAGTTGTTAACAATTTATGAAGTCAAAAAGGCCACATCAAAAGTGATAGAGCGGGCTAACTAGTTCAGGAAAAATCGACCAACGACAAAATAAAACCCATGAAGAGTCAAGCGACGCAACTGGCTTTCCCTAACAGAATTTCCAATAAGCCCACAACTTCCCCAGTGTTGGAAGGTGCTTCTCTCACCAACTCCCACGACTTTTGCGAAATCTGCGAGCTTAAAATTCGCCCTTTCTCCATATTTGGTAAATGCCAAGAACCACATGTTTAGGAAGGGTAGACTCCGACAAATCCAAATCATCCCCTTATGAATTCTTTTATTACTTCATTTGCTTCAGAGCGTTGAGAAGGCAACTAAGCATATAAATACACGACAATAATATAATACAATAACAGATACTGGGAATTGCTGACAATGGAATTTTTTCTGACACTCACCCATAAAGCTGTTAATGTTCGGATGAGTCAGCTGGCGCATAACTCTCATCTCAATCTTCGATTGCCTTGTTAATTCGCGAGGTTTGCGTGAAAATGTCAGCTCTGCAAGAGTATAAATGTCAGTAAAAAGACACGATAGACAGAGTCAACCACGAAATTTAGTCACCTTTCAACGCAACAAGAGTCCCTTTGTAGTATGCGACACCTCGGAGACCTGAGCCTTTTTTCTCGGCGTCTTGACCAGTATACCACGCATGGTCACCCATCTGAAGAGGGAAAACTTTACAAATCCATCAGGAAACTATTACCACAAAGGCGACAGCGCATGTTTCCGCACTTTTGGCCCGTGGAGTAGGTAGTGACCAACTGAATAAATGTAAACAGTCCGAAAGATCGTATGTGGGAACCAACATATTAACACATTCACGACGACGCCCCTTTTCCACTTTTCGGTCGCGTGGGACGGACGCGATTTTGTGGGCGCCGCCGCCTCACCACATAACCGCAGATTTTGTTTTGTAAATGAACAAAAACATGAATGTCACAAAATAATTTCTGCAATGTCCAATGCGTAAAGATTATCTAAACATATAACAGTAGGATTTCGATCAGAACGACAAATAGTGGTTACGAAAAGAGAGCATTTATTCACTTTCCCCGTGAAGGAATTTAAAAGCATTTTACACTCGATTACGAGGTTTGCCCACCTATCTGTCCATTCCTAGCGCCTGGCAAGCGATTATCAGTTGGCAGCCCATATGGGCGGCCATCGGCGTGAATGTGTTAAATACATCGTAAAACGGTATGGGGTACATGAGGGAAAAAATATTGTAAATTGTTGGTACACAGCCGTGTCACGCCAGTTCCACGCATGCCCAAAGCTGGAACGGCTGATACCTTGTCGTTCACCAAAGCGTGGTATTCAAGCAAACACGCTATTCCCAGGATATTAGCCTTACATTACCAGTCGGTGTATAATGGAAGCAGTGATTGTTTATGTGCTGGTAAAGCTTTGGGATTTCAGTCTTCAAACGAATAATCAGTTGACTTCCCATATTGTTGGCAAGTAAATAAAATTGCTACCACCACTAAAAGAAAACATACATCATTTCCATCCGGGAAAAGCGACGTTGTTGATGCGTTGCCTTGCATAAGTCGTTGCACTTCACGCACTTCGATCTTCCATATCATCGCTAATTCCTTCTCGAATTTACGACTTCTGCAACAGAAAGTTTCATCATTTTCAGTTGAACAACGTCGAAGTCACAGCTACGTGGAGAACAGGAAGTGAGGAATTAAGTTCGCGAATGATTACGGTTAGAATGAATTTCACTGCATTTCTTCCGTTATTTTTTTACTACTTTCTTCAATTTAGCAACAGCAACATTTTCTACCGTATCATCATTAAAACCCCAACACTCTACTCCTATGCACTAACTTCGCCGCGCTAACGATTTGCAGGGCACATAAAACCTTACAGAGGCGAGTTCGACTTCGGAATTGTCATAGTAGCCACGGGTCACTTGCCACTGCCCGCATATTCGCATTCTGCATAGATATGCACTAACTATAGTGATCAACCTCCTACCGTCCATGCCCAATAACCAAACCCCACTAAGCGGGAAATCTTCTTTCAACAAACCTGTATACAAATCCTGCCGATATCGCTCCACCAATCAATACGATGAAAAAGAGTATGAATGAAATGAATGATATGTAGCCTGAAAAAGGATGCATTGAAAGAAAAACTCAGGCAGTAGCTGTCAATGATAGCTGCCTAGTTTCCTGACAAACGCAATTTTTCGAGGAGGAACTCTACAAATTGCTCAGATTTCTCCGTATGTCACCATAAAACCAACCGCCATAATCTCTGCAAAGCTCTCCGTGAAAGCCGCAATCTGGCTGATCACGTGTTGGTCCATCTATCCACATGATTGGCTTGTGGAATCTAAACATGAAATCATCAGAAAGGGATAAATTTATTCCCTATGAAAACAACTTTTCATAGTTTTAGAAGAGAGCTAGAAACACAGCAAAAGACGGAGAATTTCCATAACCCTCTCGTTTCTTTGCTGGAACCAGTCCAAGACACAGAAAAAAATATTGAGAAAGTTGAAAATTCTACAATAGAGAAGAAAAACTTGAAATTTCCGATCGAGGTTAAAACTTACACTAGCTTTGGCATGTTATTATGCCCTTCTCCTCCATCAACGAACATGGCAGTGATGTCAAGAGCGTGGTCGAGCGGATAGTAATTACCATCGCCTTTCGTTCGAACTGGCTCCACCTGAGGGAAACAACAGAATTAAGCGGCGTACGCACAGATGTGCTTTGTTAGTCGTAATCAGCAATGAATTAGCAAGTTACAATAGGTATACGCCCTCAAAAAAACTTCCAATGTAACACCAAACAAAAACTGAACATTTTTTCGTGCACTTACTGCTTGCCACGACAACAGTGTGTAATTTCCTTTGGCGTCTCCGTGTTCATTGATTCGCATGTCAAAGCCTTGCATACCTGAACGAGAACTTAACTTATCATGACAACATTCACATAGAGATATTAGACGAATCACTCAATTCGGCAATATTTCATGCTCAAAAAAAGCTTAGTGATCAAATGATAAAAGGTGTTCAATAATGATGTTTCCCACCAGTGCTCCTCTTCAACCCTTTCGTTGCGATCCGATCCCATGGTGATACGGTTTCAATTGCAAAGTGATCAAGATACCGAATTATTTTTATACCTCTCGAAGTTTTGAAATCCCTCGCAAGCTTGGTAGTGCTGCATTAATCTGGTAAAGCGTTAAGTGGACCGCGGTATGTCTGGTAAAAATTTTTCCATCCACGGCAAAAGTTTTTCCTAGAAAGTTTTTCAACTTGACACACACTAAGCCAACCGAGAGGGAACCAATGCGTGTGGCAGCCATTCTTCTCGCTTTTGAGCCCTTCCCAAGGCATGTGAATGTTTAAAAACAGCTACTTCAGTAAGTTTTTATTCACTTGTAAGCTCTACAATTGCTATAAAGTTGTAGGTAAATAACATAGAACCTCTTTGGTGGCCGCGATGCCAGTGACATTGAAATCACCATTTATAAATTGCTGAGTGATACATGTAAGGTAAGCCTCGTTAGCTGATTTCTCAAAATTGAACAGCAACATACGGAGCTCCCGAGGCATAACTTCGAGCGTTTCACTTTATTGGATCTACTTAATAGACAGATCACCATCGATGGTAGGGAAACCGTTTTGTTGTGGAGCTATGTTGAAACTATCGAATATCACAATTTTCAGCGAAACTTCTGCACACTAATTTGCACTTATCACCATTGAACGCCGCTGATCAGAATTATGTGAAGCACTCAATACCAGAGGTGTAATAAAAGACCTCAAATAT